ATATATATATATATATATGTATATATATATATATATATATATATATAATATAGGCTAAATTGCATACGTTGACATAAAAGAAAAAAATTAATTTCAGACGCATATTTATAAATACTATAAAAAACTATTAAATAAGCCTGCAATCTTTGTTCTGATGTAACATTTCCGAATATGTAAGAAATAAAGTTTTCTAATGTGTAATTTGAAATACGTCATTGAGTACTTCCTTTGTTGTAATTGCATTAATACTATATATTTCATGATATTAATTGGTATATAATCGAATTAAATATATTATAATAAATTCGAATCGAATTTACCACTATCATAGGCTACTACTATATCTGTCTCTTATACACATCTAGATGTGTATAAGAGACAGATATATATATATATATAAATATATATATATATATAAAATAGGCTAAATTGCATACGTTGACATAAAAAAAAATTAATTTCAGACGCATATTTATAAATACTATAAAAAAAACTATTAAATAAGCCTGCAATCTTTGTTCTGATGTAACATTTCCGAGTATGTAAGAAATAAAAGTTTTCTAATGTGTAATTTGAAATACGTCATTGAGTACTTCCTTTGTTGTAATTGCATTAATAATATATATTTCATGATATTAATTGGTATATAATCGAATTAAATATATTATAATAAATTCGAATCGAATTTACCACTATCATAGGCTACTACTATATCTTATAAACACTAATATATTCAAACATCTACATGATACAAACAAATTACGAACGTTTTCAGATCCTGGTGCCGTCGAATTTTACAAAACAGGAAGTGACGTAGTTGCTAGGCAACAAACTCATGCATAATCATGAATATTCAGTAACACCTGTTCTAATTAGACTAACAATAAAATCTTTTTGGTCGATTTTGACAAAATCGACCAAAAAGATTTTATTGTTAGTCTAATTAGAACAGGTGTTACTGAATATTCATGATTATTCATGAGTTTGCTGCCTATTAACTACGTCATTTCCGGTTTTATGTTTTGTCGTTAAGGGCGTCGTCTAAAGGATTTCATTAAAGTTTCATCACAACCATAAATATAGGCATATATGTGCGGCTCTGGATTTCATTGCTAGTTTAATGATGGAGGTATATATTGTTTAATAGACAAAGTAGTTTATATTGATAAAGCAAATAATTCTTCACTTCTAGTTTATAAGTATATTTAGCTATTGGATTAAAGTAAACAGAGACATTGAATAAGATGAGAAGCAATTCATAACTCCAGTTGATCTTTATTTCTAAGCACTGAAATCAAGTTAGGACATTTTTATACACTTTAACAATATATATTATATGTACGTTCATCAAAAATCCATATGCCTGGTTTTAATTCTCAAAATATTATATCTTATTATCTTACATATGCCTGTGTCTGTATTATTTGCAACAATATTACGGGATATTTTCTATTATTTAGATAAATAGTACTAGTAATAACATAATAACGTATATAGGCCTATTAATAATCATATAAAGCCTATAAAAATAATAAATATTGTTATCGCTATTATGAGATTTTTGAAGAGGATTATAAAAAAATTAAAAATTCGCATTGTATGTTAATTAATGACATATCCAGGATTTTTGCAGGAAGCTTGATGAGTGATAACATTTTACTATCTATAAATAGTTGGTAAGTTCTGTTTCCCTTTCACGATCGAGTCCGAGCATCTTCTGACATTTGTGAATTTTTCTCCTCTCTGAAAGAGAAAAATATATTTAGAAAAAATTTAGAAAAAGATAAAGAATTATATAACGATTATCAACAGCATAATATGTAAGCCTAAGTAAAAATTAGTGAGCATCCCAACCCGAACGTTATCGCATTGTAGGTCTATGTACAATGCTGCTGATACAACATATTGATCATAATTCTTATCATATCAGCATTATCCAGGGGTGGTACCATCGGTGGGGGGGGGGGGGGGGGTAGGGCCCCGTCAGTGAGTGATGGCCCTCTTATCGGGGAGAAAAAATACAATTCACCGTGGAAAAAAAATATATGTATTTTGTATATATTAGTAGACACTAAAATCGATTAAATTAGCATTTAAAACCAATAAATTGTCAGAAATTTCCTGGACCACTTTTGAAACATTTTGAGAGACGCTCGACCACGCCCACTCTGCTCTTGTCGGGGGCATTGGCCCCGTCTGAGGTCGGGGACCTCAAACTCCCTCGGGACATAATGGCTCCACCCCTGGCATTATCATATTCCTTATTAATTACCACAATATCATCACACCACGAAATGAATGAGGTTTATTAATACATGGTATTTTGTAGGCCTAATAGATTACAGTAGCGTGAACAAATTATGTTAACATTCGATCGTCATAAATAAAATATATGAAAGTGTACAATTCAATAGAAATGAATATATAGATTTATATATTTGTATAAACATAATACTATCACTATATCTTCATACAAACAATTTTTATGATATAATATTTAAAGATATACTGTCTGTCATGAGCTAAAACTTGAAAAGTTTAATTCCATAATCGAATTTATTAATTATTTATATTAAGTAAGTTATTAAATTACAATTAAAAATCTGAATGAAATTTCCCCCCTGTCAATTAACAGGCAGTTAAAAAATACCTTTGCTTTATTCTTATTATATGCATAGATACTTAAATTGGCTGGTAGAGTCAAAGTAAGGATTTCAGTAGTAAAATATCCGTAAATCAGGAAAAATAAGAAAAAATGCAGACATAGGGTCCAACAACTCTAAACAGGGTCCGAAACAAGGGACTGCCCAGAGCCTCCGCCAGCATCCCGGAATACAATTCCTGGTAGGGATCATGTTGAAAGATAGGATCGCACATGTGATTTTGACCACAATCTTGGGGAATGGCTATCGAAATAGCCTAACTTTGTTTGGACCGGCAAAATAAGTTTTTTTTTGTTGTTGTCGTGGAGCCCATGTTATTTTATAAGTTGTCGAACGCATAGAGACCTCGTTTATTTGCGCTATATAAATCCATCTATTATTATTATTATTGTTATTATTAAGTTATGGTAACTCGGGGTACATGGGCAAGGCTAGTTGTTTTTGAATTTAACAAATAATAACTTTCAGCTATTTACAGCACGTACAAATGCTACTGGAGCACATAGTCACACTGAGACATTGACGCTCACCCAAGTACGGCTTATTTTGGTTTTCTGAATTTAGATTTTTTAAGCACCCGGTGCTTTATAAATTGTCAATATTATTATTACTGCAGTGCATCCTCCAATTCATCCTCCAATTCGAGACCCCCCTAATTCGAGACCACTTTTCCGAAGACCCAAATGACAATCTTCAACATTTTAACACAAAGCTAACCCTCTAATTGGAGACCAACCCTGAGACCACCCCAAATTTTCAGGTCTCAAAGGTGGTCTCGAATTGGAGGGCGAACTGTATTTACCTAAGATGTAAACTGCTCTTTATTTTCGTAGAAATACAATTTGACAACTAATGCCAGTGTGCTGGAGCCCAGGTTCTGTCTCTTATACACATCTCAATTGTACTCAAATTAAAGTCTGAGCGTTCCATTTCTGGCCATTTAGAGCATGGAGGTTGAGGTGGTCTAGATTCTCCATTTGTGAAAGTCCGTCCCTGGGTCCCTCTATTTCGTATTCCTGGATCCGACACTGGTAGCTGTAATTGATATATCGACATCATTGAGGTACATCCATGACTAATATCACTCTATTTATAAAGACGGTTTCATTTGGGCCTACCTCTATCACTTTCGTTTAACTTTAAAGATAATATTTAAAATTAACAAGCCCCAAGATCTAAAGAACGTTCCTTTTGCCAGCTTCAGGTATTTGATTTGTTTAGCGAGTAACTTGGAAAGTGTGTTGTTGAAGAGAATACAGGTATGTCAGTGCATGGCTCTGTTGAGGGAAATTGTCAATGCCTTGAATGCCTAACAACCGTAGTCAAAATAATAAATATATTATGATGACAGAATTCTCATTTATATTTATTGTATTCACAATACAAAATGTTCAATACTGTACTCACATTTGCTATTACAGTAATTGTAAAGTCTTCTTCGTAGTCTTTCAACTCCATTACAGTCTAGCATTGTTTACAGTATATGTAAAACTTCACCTGAAGATGTATAAAGAAATTTATTATTCTTTTTTAAAGCGTCATTCCTTTATGATGATGAGAATAATAGTGGTGACGAGAATAATCATGATGACG